TCCATTACCTGATGGAAGCAGAAGCAGACACCCACAGCTAACCACTGAGCCAAACTCCTGGAATCCAGATGCAGGGAGGGAGGAGTGATCAGCAAAGGGGTCAAGACCAGGCTAGAGAAACCCACAGAAACATCTGAGCTGAACAAGGGGAAGCTCATGGACCCCAGACTGATAGCTGGGAAGCCAGCATAGGACTAGCCCAGAATCCTTGAAAGTGGATGTCAGGAGGCCTGGGCAGTCTATGGGGCCTCTGGTAGTGGATCAGTATTTATCCCTAGTATACGAATGGACTTTGGGAGCTCACTTCACATAGAGGAATACTCTCTCAACCTAGACACATGGGGGAGGGTCTAAGCCCTGCTTCAAATGATATGACAGACTTTGAAGATCCCTCATGGAAGGCCTCACCCTCCCTGGAGAGCAGAAAGGGGGTGGGAGGGGCAGAAGAGGAGGGGAGGGAACTGGGATTGACATGTACAAGAAGATTGTTTCTAATTTTAAAAACAAGCTGCTTTAAAAAGATTTGTTTGGTAAAGTACTTGTGCAAACTAGAGGACCTGTATCGTCACCAGCACCCACATAAGGCAGGCATGATATCATGAGCCTGTGAGTCCAGCATTGAGGACTTGGGTAAGGAGGATCCCAGACTTGCTCCCCAGCTGTCTGAACCCAGAAGCTCCAGTTTGAGTGAGAGACCCAGGTTCAAAAGTAATGGAGCAGGGCTGGGGAGGTGTTCCTTTGATTAAGAGTATTTACTGTTTTTGCCTGGGACAAGCACCCTCAGGCCAGCTCACAACTGCTTGCTATTCTAGTTCCAGAGGATTTGGTGCTGGGCACCCACACTCATGTGGGTGATGGAACATAGCCCCAGTGTAGGTGACGATGTCAGGTTGTGATGTCAAAATATCGGACACCCCTGCTGGCAGAAAGTTCAAGGCTGCAGTCATAGGATACATGCTCCTAGAGTGGAACAAGGAATCCATGTGAGACATGGGCGTGCAGCGGCTTATAGTTGTGAATGGGATCTATCTTCACGTAGAGGAAGGCAAGATGCTCTGTCTCCTGTTTGAGTTTTCAAACAAGTGGTGGGTGCTCTTAAGGTGTTCTTGAGGCTGTGGGAACTCAGAAGGGACAGGCTGTATTCTAGAGAACAAGGTCTTGTTCAGCTCATGAGCTTTTCCAATCAGGGCACACATCTCAGAAGCTGCCATCTGGAAGCTAGACCCATCTGAGAAGCTAGACATATATTGAAGAAAACCAAGCATTGCCATGACCCTCATGATGACTTATCCTAGTACAACTCCAACCACAAGATTTCAGTGTAACTTTGTATTATACAGTTTTACTGAATTCCCTTATTGGTTCTGAAAATAGTTTGGTGGAATTTTAAGGGCTTTCTAGACATGCAGTCATACCACCTGAAATGAGAGATAACTTACACTCCTTTCTTACTAATTTGGATACCATTTCTTTCATTACCTCAACTGGTTACTCTGGTTAGGACTTCCAGTCATACACTGAATGGAAGTGATTTTGTACAGTAAGAAGTGAAATCTTTGTCTTGCTCTAAAGAACCTTCAACTGTTCACCCCTGAAACACGTCTGCCATGGATGAGCTAATTACATGTGGCTTGGATTTCACTGAGTTCTATTCTCTCTGCATACAATTTGTTGAGAATTTTATTCTTACAGCAGAAAAAATATAAACTTATTTGAAATTAGATTTATAGATTCATGAGAGAGCTCTCATGGTTTTCTTTTGATTCTGATCTCTTTTTGTAGTTCCAGGCTAGCCTTGGACTTGGGAGACATCTCCTTCAGCCTTAGGGGTGCTGTCATTTTAGGTGTCTTGTACCGTGTTCACTTGAGCTTATGATTTGTAAAACTTCATTTGATTCAAGTGGTGCTGTGAGTGTCCCGACACTCCAATGTTGAAATTCATACATCCCTGTGGTATAGTTCCCTGTGACCAGGGCTTATGATCCTTTTAATGTGTTTTCAGTTCGGTTTGCTTGTACTTCATTGAGGATTTTTGCATTGATGTCCAATTAAGGTTATTGGCTCATGATTTTCTCTGGTCTAGCTTTGATAACAGGATAATGGCTTTGTAAAACGAGTTTCTACTTCACACTTTTTTGAAAGCCTTTTAGCAACGTGAGCTGTGTGTGTGTGTGTGTTTGTTTGTTTGTTTTGTAGAATTCATATTTGGATTCATCTGATTCTGGACCTTTCTTTTTTGGGGGAGTTTCCCCCAACCCCATTTTCAAATCTTGTTGAAGATTTGTCAATTCTGCCTATGGTGTCAACAAATTAGCTTAGTTTTGTTGATCTCAATCTGTAGTCCAGCCTGGCCTCAAACTCATGCAACTCTTCTGCCTCAGTGCCATGGGTGTTAAGATTTAATCACCAATTCAATCTTGTTATTGATCTGCCAGGATTCACTGTTTCTTTATGTTTAATTTTAGTGGGTTGTGCATTTCTGCAAAGTTAGCTATTTACAAAAGCTTACCCTGTTAAGTGGTGAATTGTTGTAGCCTACTGTGGACCTTTGTATGTCTGCAGCATAAGATGTTTTTTCTTCTGTCACTTTAGGTGTGACTTACTTTGGTTCTTTTTTTTTTTTACTAAGTTAATCCAATGGATGGTTGTTATTTTGTCTAATATTTAAATACATTAACTCTCAGTTTGATTTTTTTCTGTCTCCCTAATGTCTTTCCATTATTTTTGATTTAGTATTTATTATTTCCTTCTTACTACAAAGTTTGGGTCTAGTTCTCTTTTTGAGCTCGGTGTTGTGTAAGGTTAATTAGTTGAGCTTGCTCTTTTCTAATGAAGGTGCTTACTGCTGCCAGCTGTCTTCCCTTGCTTGCATCCCGGGAGGTTTGGGTATTTATGCCTCCATTTTGTTGATATGAAGATACATTTTGATGGTTTCTCCTTTGACCTATTGAGTTTCAGGATGGTGTTTCTTGTCTTACACGAGCCTTGCAGTTATCTTCTTCTTGCTAACCAAGCAATGGCTTGACTGATTTACATCTTCTTATGTTTACTAAGAATTTTTTGATGGCCCGGCATGCACACATCATGCATGCGTGTGTGTGTGTGTGTGTGTGTGTGTGTGTACCCTAGAGAATGTTCTGAGTGCTTTAGAAAACTGTAGATTCCGTTGCAGTTAAATATGATGCTTCATATGTACATCTGGTCTTTGTGGCCTGTGGCATTAAGCCTTGCTGCTTCCCTTGTTTTCTGTCTATACACCATGCATTGTAGTGAGTCAGGCTATTACTGGGCGTTGATGTCTATTCCTCCTTCCATTTTTCCAAACTGACCTTGAACTACCTCAGCTTTCCAGCTGCTAGGACTATTGGCATGTCCTACTGTACCTGGTTTAGTTATGTCCTCCCATGAGCTGTAATGACTTTATTTACAACCATCAGTGGGGTTTTTTCTTTGATTCTACTTTTTTTTTGGCTACCATCCACTCAGGATGATTTTTGTCATCCTTTTACCCTCAAATTTAGTGTTACCTTCAAGGTAAAATGTGTTTTTTTTCAGATTCTATAGTTATGATTTGCATTTTAAATACATTGAGTTATTCGGTGTTGAGTTACTTTGTACAAGGAGTTTGCTGTGAAATTGACTCCTAGGAATGAGAGAAGCTACATTCATAAAGTCTCACTAACTAAAAGTTAGGTAAACGTGATCTGGACAAGGAGGACACCAGCAGATGTGCCAATGTGAGTGGAGAGAGCCCTGGAGGCTTCAAGCTTACCCAAGAACTACAGACAACTATGGAAGTGGGACACATCGTCTTCTCCAGTGTAGACATTTAAAATAAATATCAACAGGTACAGATTTACTGTGTTCTTTGTCACTGTTTGTCATTTCTTCCTCTCACCATATTCTCTTCTAGTTTGGTGGCCTGATTCGATTCCTGTCACCTCTCATTGACTACAGGGTTTCTTTGTTGTTGCTGTAAGGTGTACACAAAACACCCAGCGTAGTAACTTGAAATCTATGCTATTACTTTCCCCTTTGACTCCATTTTCTGTTACTGACATCACAATTTGCAACTTAAAATACTTTGGTTAGACTCCATTAGTTGTACATATTAATTAGTGATTAATGGTGCTTGTCGTGTTATTTCCAGTAATCACACAACTTCTCGTGTTTATGTACCGCATTTTGCCTGTCCAGTCATTGATAGGCTCCTAGGTTGATGTTGTTTTAACTATGATGTGTGGTAGGAAGGCAGGTGTGTCTCTGACATGCTAATTTCATTTCCTTTGGATTTACAGACAGAGATGTATAGGTGTCACACAGACTTTCAGGCACAAATTCTGTGTTTCTGCTTTCTAAATTGCCTAGCCTTTAATATATTCAGTTGACAGTAGGCTTTTGTTAAAGGATGTATGAGAATGGTATGGAGTGAACTCGGCAGCCATCTCACACATGTATTTCGCTTGCATTTTCACAACAGAAGGTGTCCCAACTCTTAGAGTGGAGGAGCTGCCAGCGTCAGTGGTGGATGTTAAGCATCTAATCTCAGAAGCCATTTAAGAATGAGAAAGTAGTGCCCAATAAGATTTATGTCAAAGTTTATTAGCCAGGTTCCAGGGCCTTTAAATCCAAGCTCTGAAATACAAATCTTCAGGGTCCCATCTGTTTGTGTTTGAGCTATATGCACTTTCTTCCAACTTAGGGCCCCAAACCTCTCTTTTTAAAAAAAATCCAAAAGGGAAACACAGAAGACATCAGTAGAATAGAGGTTGTGTTGAATAAAAGTTAGTGTAAATGGCATGAGTTGCGATGGAGTAAGGAAACACTAAACATTTCAGTTGCAAACCTTACTTGTCTATTGTTGGATGTACCCCTACACTAGACATTAGGTACCATGTGCAGCCGTGACCACATCATTTAGTGATGACGTTCAAATACGTCCTTTGCATCTCTGGGTTGTCGAACTAGTACAAAACTCTACCCTGTTCATTCCCTTGCAGGAACGTCACGCTGCAGCTGCCTGTGAAGTTGTCAGTTACGCACAATTCAGTATATGGAAGGAAACAAACGTGGGCTAATACATATTTGACGGAGAAGCAATGGGAGGTAGGAGATGAAGGTGGTTCACTTGTGCTAACCGGACAGTCAGCTTGCTAGCTCCAGAGGCGGCGTCTACTGAGGAAGTTCTATTGGGATGTGAGGCCACTGGTAACTTCACTCCTACCTGAGACTTCAGCAAAAAGTGCTTGTTTTTCATTTTTCTTTAGCAACATTTAATTCCCAAAATCATTGGTTTCCCTCTCTTCAGTCATTCCCTTACAAACCTGAGCCCATGGTTTTCTGCCAAATGATGACCTCGCTTTTCACTTTGTATCTTCAGCTTTCTTTGGACCGGTCACTTCCCCTGCATTTCCCTCTGTGCTTCAACAGAGGAGGCTGGTGTAGAAAGCCCTTGAACTGCCCTTTCCTCTATGCTTATCTGCGGGCTGCTGAGCGTTGTATACGGGGATCAGTTGGCTTGTGTTCCTGTGATGGCTTTCTTCTGTCAGCACGTTTGAAATGCTTGTGTGGGTGCACACTGGTCTTTCCCATTGCTGTACAGTGTTGCTCATTCTACAGAATAACTGTCCCATAATCTACCCATTCCAATCTTGTTGGGCATTTTACTATCCAGAGTGTTCAGTGGCTTATCATTCAGATCACAGAAGTGTCCATCTCCTATAATACTCATCTGTAAGTGGTTTCAGATTTTTTCCCCAGTTCTAGGATTCCCATTTGATCCTCTATGCATACTCCAAGTAGCTCATTAAATTGTTTGCCTTTATTTATTTCACAATTTTCTGTGATTACTTTGGAACATGTTAACCGTAATTGTGTTAATGTTCTTGGATATTAGCTCAAATATACACATCACTTAATAGTATAGTTTGGTTTTAGGCCCTATCATTTGTGGCAGGATAAAAGAGATTGTGCATAAAAGTGATGGTGGCTGTGCATTTTAGAAATTGTTACCTTCCCCCAGAGAGGGTTTTCTGTTTCCTTTGCAACATTAGACCATTGACCTCTGTAATTATTTCATTAAAGCTTTCAGCCACTAGGTTTAATCTAATACATGATTATATGTTTAGGCCTAAGGTCTCCATTTTTTGGCCCCGAGATCTCACAATATTGCATACTCCCATCATGATCTTTGCTTTGTGCAGATGCAACTAGGAAAATGAGGCAGCTCGATAATTTTATCTCCCCGAGGCTCTACATTCTGAAAACAGAAAGTAACTTTACCTTTAATTATTTTTGTTGCTCTGATACCTCCCTTTGATACCTCCATTATGCTCTATCAGTTTGGAGTTTAATTTTCCTGCCGTGCAAGGAAATTCTGGTGTGTTCTCCCACTGCTGGCTTCCTTCTGCCAGCAAGCGCGTGATGTCCATGTGGGTTCTTACCATGGTCTCTGCCATGGTTTTATCACTTGCCATATCAGACGTCCCTCACAAAAGTGCAGCTGAAAAGCTGTTAGGAGATGTCGCGTCACAGATCTGTCCTGTTGACTGTCCATTGCATTTCGTTAAAGCGTATGGTCACCAGGTTTGATCTGGCAGATGAATGCAGATCATCAGGAAGTATGTAGCATGTGTGCCCCTGACCATACATGGGCCAGTGACAGAATAACTCAAACTTGCTAAGTGAGTAAACTTTTTTTTCTATTACTTTATACATATGGGTGTATTGCCTGCACCCGTATTGCCTGCATGTGTATTGCCTGTGTGCTACATGTTTGCAGCGCCTGCAGAGGCAGGAAGAGGGCACCAGATCCCCCTGGAACTGGAGTTACAGGCAACATGAGCTGCCTCGTGGGTGCTGGGACTAGAACCCGTGTCCTCTGGAAGGGGCAGCCCGTGCTGCCAGTGAGAAATCTCTCCAGCCCCATGCTAGGTTCTCTGGAGGCATGATGTTCATTAAGCAGAATCATTTTGCTTCTCAGATTGCCGTTGACTCTGGAGCAATCGGCAAACTTTAATGTCCACATAACCAGTGGGAAATCAATGAGAGAACAGTATTGTAATCTCTAGCAGCAATTATTTTCTGAGAAACTTGATTCCTCAGACGAATTTTGAAGAAGATGTTCACAGTTGACAAAAAGTCATGTGTTTCCCTTCACAGTGTCACTTGGTTTATATTTTCTCTTTTCTGTCTTTCCTCATATGCAAAGGTTGGCCATAGAAGTTAAATATGTATGGCATTTTCACACATTTATATTGTTGCTCTTGGTTAATATCCATTCCCCATGGTTTCCCTTCTCATTCCCCCTTCCAGTGTCCTGGTCCCCTTTCTCTGCCCAAATAGTGTCCTTTCTGCTTTCATGTCAGATGGACATAGATTGAATCTAGCTTCCTGACGAAAGAAACTGGCATACTTCATCTTTCTCCCTGCTATCCTTTCCTATCTTCCTTCCATTGGGACACCTTCTTCTCTGTGCATAGTCCCTTTTTCCTTTTGCACTATTGTGTGTCTGTGTGTGTGTGTGTGCGTGCACGTGCGTGCGTATATGTGTGTGTATGTAAATATAGATTGTGCACATGAGAGAAAATGCCATGTGTGCAACTCAATCCAGTTTATTTTGTTCACATGAGGATCTCCAGTTGTGCTCATCTTCCTGCATTCCTTTGAAATGACTGGGTAAGACTTCCTAGTGGAGACATACCCCATTTTCAGAGATAAATCCAGATATAGAATTTGTGGGTCAAAGATTTAAAAAAAGACACAATTGTCGATGGATAGTTAAAATAACATGGATGATGCTCTGAGGAAAGCCACTCGTATCTTTCTGGAAGTCACAAAGAAATTCCATCAACATTTCATCATGGTAGGAAAGGGGCCAATGGGGCTGCACCACTTACAGAGTGGAGTGGGAGGGTTGATGGATGGGCGCTTGTTATAAAAATGTCAACTTGGGGAGGGTCGATGGGTGGTGCTCGTTATAGAAATGTCAAAGTGGGAAGCAGTGATAAAATTATGAAAAAGAAATTTGTTGCTCCAAACAGAACAGCCCTTCTAGAGAGTAAAAGGTAGAAGTGCTGTCCGTGATAGCCCCCACCCCACACCATTCCTGCTTCCAGCCATGGCTTTTAAGACACTCCTTTCTTTAAGTACCACTGAGAAAAAAAAATGGCAATCAGATGCTTACAGTTTCTTACTCCAAGAGTGTATGTTTATTGAAAGAACCTGACTTTATTGTTTCAAGCATCTCCACTTACCTCTCATATGAATCTGAAGTGCAGTCTATTAGTCTAATAAATTAAGTGGGTTTTCTAAAGCCTTATTGTCCTGTGAGTCTGAGTGCTGAACCAGCGTTGACTCGGCCATCACGGCTGTGTTTCCCACACATTGTCCGCCTCCGTGTCACCACGGGTATCAATATTGAACATTTATTAAAGGAGTGTCCTAATAGTGTCTCTGAGCTTCTCTTCTAAGGCGTTGTTCTCCTGTCTGCACGTTTGATGCGTTCTGTTTCTTCTTCAAATGGCCCACTGATGGCATGTGGACCCAAGTCGCCTAGGATTACACTGCAGGCCTGCTCCCTTCAATCACCAGGTAGTAGAGCCAAGTGAGCACACATGGGAGGGAGTGATGATCACTTAAGGGCTATTCTCTGGCTGTCAGTAGACTGCTGATTTGAGAAGCGTTAACATGTACGTAGTGTGCTTGGTTGACAGACTTTGAAATAGTCTAGGGCACTTTATATATGGCTTTTTTTTTGAACGCATGGTGTGTTCTTTATTTCTGGGCACAGATAATGTGTGTCTTTCTGCAGGCAGAGTGCAGAGGAAAGACGAGTTCTCTACAGTATTTGATATTAGTCCTTGATGCTCGGGGACTATGGGGGAGATTATTGTAGTATTATTGAGTGATTAGAAACATCAACAACAAGCCCCTGAGAGAGGATGACAGAAACTTGTCTTGGTTTCACTGATGTCTCAGGGAGTTAGCTCTAATCTCTCATGGCTGCTGTTGCACTGTATGCTATAGAAGCATGTGTGTGAGTGTTCCTCCTCTCCCATCCCCCCATGTGACTTTTCATCACAATCTTACTTCTTTTTGCCAATGCACCGCTCAAAACTCATTCATTATCCTGATTATCGATTCCTATTTTTAAAGCTTTAATTGAAACTGGCCATGTGTTTTTCTCTTTTCTTTTGATTCAATCACTCTTCTCTTGCACAGGGTACCTTCAAATTTATAAATTTGAATAGCCCTCCTACCAGAGACTTTCAAATAACAGAGGACATGAGCACTCATAATCATGCATGGCTTGGTCAACGGATGCTTTTATTCTATGGCATCTTTAATTCTTAAATATTATAAATGTCACATTTGCCTATACTTTGTTTAATTGATTCCACATAAACAGGTTAAAACTCATTTTGTTTTAAACTGCATCTAATCCTTGCTCCCAGCACTTGAGTCTCTGGTCTCACTGAATCTTTCCTTTACGCGATCGCCTCTGCAGATGCACACTTATGTTCGACTAACCTAACAGTTCTAGAAAAAAAAAGAAATTCCTTTATTATCTCCAGTGAGAGTCCTAACGCCAGTTGGTTTTGATCCATCCCTGAATCAATTACTGTGGCCACCAGGGTGGTTTTCACTGAACTCACCCTTTCCCGGTTACTTTCCTACCCCAAAACTCCGTGTAACCAGAGTGTGGCTCCCCTAAGTTAAAATCCAGCAGCTGTATAAAGGAGGTTCCTTGGGTTGCTTAAACCTCACAAGAGCTGTAAGTCGAAGCCTGGCTTTGTTTCTGGTGCCCAAACAAGGGGAAGTAACAGCCTTCAGGGTGAATCAGAAAGAAGAAAGTAGCTACTGAAACTTGGATATGGTTCTCTCCACTGGCGAGGTGGCGGACTATGGCATGATGAAAAGCTGTGTCTGTCCATGGGTGAAGAATGAGAAGTTGATGGAGTAACAGGTACTCCATGGGTATCAAGAGTCCCTGGTGTGACCTCCAGGCCTGAGAGTATACTGAGCATTCTACTTGATGGTGCAACCTTGGGGAGCAGGGCGTGGTCCAGCCTTGTGCACTTCACCATCTCTCTGTCCATCTCTCA